ATACTGTAACATTCATGTCTCATAACTCAGAAAGTCCTGAACGAAAAAGTACTTAACTATAGCGTTTTGGAAAGTTCTTAAAATAAGCTACAAGAATATGCAATAAAAAATGGGGGTTTCCATTAAAAAATTTCAAAGTAATTTTTATGTGACCTTAACAACGTTATTCAAGATCACAACCTTGCTATGCAATGTGTCTCTTAAAACCCTACAACTTTTATATGAAACATTTTTCTATAAAATGCTTTGTTCTATATCAAGTTTTTTTTTATATCGAGATATTTAAGGGACTTTTTCCCCACCCTGTATATGTCATTACTACAAAAATAGAAAATTATTTTACATTTTATACAAAAACTATATTACTATATTACTAAATTACTAAAAAATTGACGTCGATAAAAATTTAACAAATATTTAATGCAAAAAGTCTTGGCGCACTGCTACATATTAAATAATCTAGGAACACATTAAATAATCTATAAAAATAAGTAATAATGTAATTTAATATTATATACTTACAATTAGTTATTATACAATATTAATATTAGATAAAATTTCGAATTTCCGATATAATATTTTACCATTGTTTGTAAAATGTATTTTACTCTCTTTCTCGGTTATCTTCTTTTGTATGTTACTAATTATTTGCTATAATATGCGTTTGTATTAATATTAAACATGAGACATTAATTTACATTATATTAATTAACGTGTTATTCAGTGTAGCAGCGCGCCAAGTTTTTTTACATTAAATATTTTTTTTATTTTTTTATAATTTAATAATGTATCTTGGTGTGAAATATAAAACAATTTTTTATTTTTGTAGTCATGATGTGTATAATTTTTATTCTCACTTGACGCCATTTTCTGATATTTTTTAGAATGATACAAATAGAATATACAATAGTTTTTTTAGATTAAATAAATATGACAGTTTTTTCTATAGATAAAATATAATAAAATATAATAAATTTTTTCTATAGATAAAATATATGACAAATTTTTTCTACAGGTTTTTATATACATGTATACAACATTGTTTTAACAATCGTGTGTATTTGGCGTTTTTTGTATCTTTTTTAAAAAAATAATTTTTTATAGATATGCCTTTTTTAAGTTTACAAAGAATAATGTAACTTCTACTCTTGTCTCTTATATCTAATCGTTAAATTAATTTATTAATTTGTAATAACATTAATAAAATTTCTAAAAATAAATATTCTGTCTGTTCACTAATTTGTATCATACCGCTTTTTAACATAGCATCATTGTATGAAAGTCATGATTTATTTCATATTTTTCGCGATCTGTGAATTATTGTCATCATTAAAAATTGTCAAATGTTAAAATTTCGCAAATCGATGATCTATCTTTTTGAAATATATGACTTATTGTTATTAAAATTAAAAATTGTTGTAGACTTACTCTGAAATGGATTCTCAATTACAAATGTTAATAGCTTTGTGTAAGTGCGCATTTTGTTGCGTAAGTCTTTTTCATCTTTATGATTTACTGTTCTGTCAGCTATTAAATTCCTGAATCACACCAACCCACTTTATTTCTTCTTTCTTTGAAAAGATGAGAGTGGGAAGGTATGTGTAGGATATGTAAGAAATTCAATTTTATTACAATTGTAGTAATAAGTTTAATACTAAGAGATAAGATTCATAGAGAAATTCAATATCGCTCTGCTTGTCGAGTGCGCTATTTTGTCTTTTTATAAAGACTATTCCGAAATTAATCTTTTTTTTTAGTCTTCTTTTTTGTTATAGTCAAAATCTTCGATGCAACAGTCATAGGCATTATTTTATCAACAATGTCTATGATAATTTTTCACTTATGTGTAAGCGATTTTGGAAAAATAAGCTACTCAACAAGCAGAGCGACACTGAACGCCTTTCTTAATCTTATCTCCCAGTATTAAATTTACAATTGCAATAAAATTGAATTTTCTTCTTATATTATCCTACACATACTTTCCCACTTCCATTCTTTTTAAGAAAGAAGAGATATAAAATGAGATATGATTTGAAGACTCAGTAATTAACAGGACCTAAATATAAACACAAAATAAATTTACATAACGAAATGCACACTCACACAAGGCTACTAACATTCGTAATTAAAAATTCATTTCAGAGTAAATTCATAACAATATTTAATATTATCAACAATAACTCATATAATTCGAAAAGTTAGATCATTAATTTGCAGAAATTTTAACATTTTACAATTTTTAACAATAACAATAATTCACAAAACGAAAAATCTATGGATCATTATTTTTACACAACAATTCTATGTTAAAAAGTGGTATGGTACAATTTTGGCGGATAAAATATTTATTTTTTTTTTTTTTGCTAATGTCATTATAAATGAGTAAATCAATTTAACCAATTTAAGTTAGATTGATAAAATCTGATTAGTCTGATTAATTTTATTCAGAATAGTTCGAAGAAAAGATTAAGAGTTTTGGGCCATAGTAAAATGTTTCAACTACTGTTTCATAATATTTGCAAAATTTACAGAATATTTTATTTTAATGTTACATCTTAACTTACTTTCCATATTTCAGATTTGTCAAAATTGCAACTGCGATCAATAAGCCAACATTTTACTTTCTATACACTTACTATACACTTATTTTTTTTATACTTACTTTTTAAATATTTTTTCTTAAAGGTTTTTAAATAATATGGGTAATTTTAATAACATGTAAAATACTGTGAAATTCATAAACGCGGTTAACTCACACTTCTCAGCGCCGCCAGCGCAGCCTAATAATCTGATTAGTTATAAAAAAACTGTTAAATATTCGCATACGTGGCTAGCTGACATTTCTCAGCACAACTAACGTCCAAAAATCGTAATGTATATCCTAGACGACGACCCATACAGCACAAAATATCCTACATATCCTTAGGACATCTTGGGGAGATCTCGATGTCCTCAGAACATCCTTGGGACACCGAAATATCCTCGATGTCCTGAGGATATTTTCAGGATATTTTGTGCTGTATGGGGATAACTTAAATAGATTTTTTAACGTTTTGACTTTGAATTATAACTTTTTTTATAGAGTACGTAGAGTAAAAACACAAACATACTTTTATAATATAATTTGAGTATGCACAATCGATTGAGCCTGTTTTCAAATCAATCAACCAAGCGTTATTAGGTTTGTTCTTTATTGCTGAACTTTCTGCATTAGTGTACACTAGTAACACTGAAGCGTTTTTCATTGCACTGCAACGTAGCACAAATCCATTCTTTATTGCAGTGCAACAAAATTCAGTATAACAATTTACTGTACTCGTTGCATTGGGTCTTGAAGAAGAACAAGCAGTACAAGAATCGAGTAAGTTGATAATTACATTTATTAATTTAATTTCACATTTAATTTCGTAAATATTAGCTTGTCCTAAAAGTTTTTTTCGTTTTCTTACTAAAAATTAAATACTCAACCCCCCGTTCTATCTCTTAAAATCTAGGGTAGAATTCTGTGCTCTAAAAAGTAGGTAATATCTCACAAAAATTCATAAATGATAAGGTCTGGCCAAGTTCCAAGAAAGACACTCCAATATGTTTATATTTTAATAATTATCTAAATTTTTAATATATTACCAACATGAAAAGTAACTGATTACTATGATTACTATTAATATTACCTTTATTACTATTACTATTAATATTACCTTCTGATTACTATTTATTCCTTTCTTTAAACAATTCTCTTTTAGATAAAAAATTTCACTCTTTGAATGACATAAAGAATCACCTCGATCAATATTTTGCCAGTAAATCAAAGACATTTTGGAAAAATGGCATCATGAGGCTTCCGGAGAGAATGAGAAAGGTGGTAGAGCAGAATGGCTTGTATATCAATAAATTGTGTCGTTCATAAAAGGTTGAGTATTTAATTTTTAATAAGAAAACAAAAAGAACTTTTGAGACAACCTAATAGTAGTAAAAAGTAACCATAATCTATTAAAAATATTCATAAATATATTATAAATATTAATAAATATATTATAAATATTAATAAATATATTGTAAATATTAATAAATATATTGTAAATATTAATAAATATATTGTAAATATTAATAAATATATTGTAAATATTAATAAATATATTGTAAATATTAATAAATATATTGTAAATATTAATAAATATATTAATAAATAAATTATAAATATTTTTAAGTAATCTATTAAATATTAAAGTAACCTATTTAATATTAAAATAATTAACAATTCTTTTAAAATTAAATTATAAGCACTGAAATTGTACTTATAATCTGAATTTGAGAAAATTAAGCTGTGATATTGTTAACTTTTATCAAATTTGAAGAAAGTTTTCTGTTTTTGTGAATAATATACAGGATGTCCCATTTTAAATTACGCACCTGAATATCTCGTCAGGGGAGCCACCAATCCGAAAATAACCCTTACAAAAGTTGTTGGGTTCGGAGGGGGACATCGGATGGTGATTTTCAATTTCACCTTGACCTTGACTTTCAAGGTCATTTGAAGGTCAAATCAAATTTTTTAAATAAAAACCCCTATTTTTGATTCCAAAATCTAATAGCTGGTGTCAAGAGCTTTTTAAAACACTATAATAAAGTTATTTTTCATTAAGTACTTTTCGAGTTATGAGGCTTGTAAATTACAGTATTTTGACATAAAATATAAAATATCTTGTAAAACATTCAGTTTTTGAGAATCTTACCTTAATACTTTTATGCACAAAATAATGAGACAAATCAATTGGTATAAAGAAAACACATAGTTGCTTTCAAGAAAAAATATGTAATTTGCAACATGCAACTGCATT